CATGAATACTGTGTGTAAAATGCTTATAAAGTGCATAGTGTATATAAAGTGTGAATCAGATTGCACTTTTCATTAGGAATAATTTTAAAAATTAAAATTGCCAATAGCTTATCAAGAATTGCTTAAACCAACATCTGGACATTCAAGGAAACAGTGAAATATATAAATTTGAAGAAAATTATAACAGACATTGCTCGAAAATCACCAGACATTCATTTGATAGCATGCATCCAAGTTACAGACAAAATGTTTAACCTGTATTTTTTATAGAAGCTATGATCATCTTAATCTCTTTTGTAAACAAATCAAAAAGGATTTTGTTTTGGTCACTGACTATACATGAACTGTAATACACACACCTCAACACACATAGGTATCCAACAAATTAATAATAATAAATCAAGGGAACAAATTTCAAACATTATTATTAATAATCCTATGACCAACACCTCTGACTGTGATGCTCAAGAGAAATTTATAATCAATTGTACATTCTAATATAATTTTATTAAAATTATTATCAATAAAATCTTTTAGTTGAAGTGCAGTTTGTTAAAACAATAAAGGTGGCATCAAATACAACCAACTGGCCTTCATTGCTTCAAAAATACATGTTTCTGTAATTAATATCCAAAAGCATAGATTCTAAAACCACATGTATTTCGGCTGCTAATAAATGAAAAGCTATTCCATAAATTTGGATGCTTCCTTTACCATCTAGAATTCATCAACATCCATCATATAAAACAAATAGGAGAAAATGCACTGGGATAAAATATTGCATCTGCAGCTTGTGTGTCCTCACAAAATTATTTCTGTCCATTCTGTATACATGAACATGTGCCAAATAACTTTATGACTCACTAAATTTATGTTCACTTAAAACAAAATGGATTTAACATACAAACATTACAAAATCATCCTATAGGCATAAAACTCAAAGGATGCTGAACCAAAATTTTATAGAATTTAGTCTTTTCAGCAGTCTTTTACTAAGCTTACTTTCCTCTTTTTCCAGAGAACTGCTTAATAAACTGAATGTGATATATACTTTATTTCCATTACTTTATCCAAAACAATGCTGTAACAATTATAGTGAAAATATGCTAAATAATTTGTATTGCATGATTAGTTTTGAATTTTATTTTTAAGACACCTACTCTAGCCCTCTGTGATAGAACTGATAATCAGTTATTTCAGTTAATTTATTTCATTAAATTTCAAAGAAAATTTAATTTCCAGTTTACAATTTTCAAGCTATTGATTAAGAATAAACTAATTTCATTGTACCTAATGCCATATTAGATTTTAGCAGCAAAGCTAGAATACAGTCAATATACATGTTCTCCATTTTATAGCCACCTGGCTCATGATAGTGCTCCTACTGTGTGTGAAATCAATTTTTTTCTAAATGTGTCCTACTCACAAGTTTCTTGAAAACCTCCAACAGACAAAATTCAGAGTTTAAAAACCACCAACGTAGATTTTCAGAAACATGTAATAATATTGAAGTAACAATATTTATACTATTTATGAAAATTAAATTATATTTCAATCAATTATCTAAATTGAAGACTACTTTGAATTTGTATTTAAGAATTATTATCTATACAAAATACATGTTTTATTTGTACTGATTTTGTTTTCTTTTAGAAAAATTAAGCAGTGCTAAATATGACAGATGAGAAAAATCCATTCAGGATTTTGCAGTTTCAATTTCCAGACTTATAAACCAAATCCAGATTTGATAAATTATCAGTATTTATCAAATTCATTCATTCATTTCCCCATCCAAAATACTTTGGTTCTATAAAATCACTTATTAAAGCACTTAAGACAAAAATACAATAAATGTATTCCAAAATATTTCTGTTTCAGCCAAAATCAAAGGATTCTGCTCTTCCATTCCCGCCTATGTTTCGCAAAATAAAAAACAATTCTATGTGTTTGCTTTCTTGATGTTTTAGATGTTCAGACATATGGGAAATCATGAAACAATTTTCCATCTCATATAATGTATAGCATGATTTAAATGGCTGAAATGTTGTACTTCCATACATCTTGAAATGCTGATATGGATTTCAATATGAAGCAATTATCAATAGTTTAAGAGTTTTTTGAATTTCCAAGTGCCTAAATGGCACTTTGAAAATTATTAAATGTGTTAAATCTTTATTAAAAATATAAAAGTTGATCAATTGTCTAAACGTATTTTCATAAGTTACAATTGCTTACAATTTTTGTAACATTATAAAATTCAAAGTTGAATGACCTTTTGTAAAAATAAGTTTTGAATCTCCAAGTAGACAGAATAGAAGAAACAGATGGAGAGGATAACAAAATTCCAACAGCCTCTGCTACATATCCAAGAGCCTATCATAAAGTTATAATTGCTTTATACGATTATAAATTTCTGTTGTCAGACTCAATACTACTGGCAAGGATGGATCTCTGGCATAACATATTCTGATAGCTTTTTCAGAGAACATGAATAGTTGAATGCATACAGAAGCAAGCCATGTATAAATGAAGAGAAACTCTTCAATGAAAAACACAATTTGCTTTTATGAAAATGTATGTAGGACTATAATTTTAAAAGTTTCAATAAAGCTCTTCATCTAATAAATCTAGATATGTACATTTGATGTTATATAAGTAGCAACCTTCATATAAAAAATAAAGGCAGTATCTACTTTTACTTCATGTAAATATATTCATTAGTGCCAGAAAATGCATTCTCTTTTAATAAATGACAGTATGTATCTGTAACATCTATTTCTCTTTCTTCCTAGCCTTTTCTCCGAGTTCAGGGACCACTTTTTTTAAAAAAATAATAAACTGAGTATTTATCCATTGGTTGCAACAGGAATGGACCAACCAGCTTGTTGCCTGAGCTGACATTGTGGGAGTGAGAGACAGAGTGATTGACCAAAGTCACCCAACTGGCTTTGATGCCTAAGGTGGGACTAGAACTCACACTTTCCTGTTTTCTAGCCTAGTACTCAAGTTGTCTCTGACTCTGTCTCTCTTTGTCCCTGTCTCTTTCTGTTTTACTATTATTTTGGATAAAAACCATTTCATTCACAATATAAATGACAAAATGAAATCGGGAAAATATGGGGCGGAAAGATAAGTTTAAGTATCACTAACAAAAATTATTGAAATATCAAATATGGTGCATAGATTGAGAGTAATCCTCACATGTTCATCAACTGGGCACTGACTGTATATAATACACTAATGTGGTAAATTCATAACAAATGAAATATACATTATTGCACTAGTTATCAACCTATGTACCCATGTCTACCCATACCATGTAGGTAGTATGTCTACCTACGTACCCATCTACCCATACCATGTAGGTAGTATGTCTACCTACGTACCCATCTATGAGCCTATATAAAATCCTTTCTTTACATAACTTATTCTTAATGGTCAGCTATCTTACAAAATGCAACATTAAACTGCTGCATCAAAACAAAACAAAAACATTGCCTAGTATCCTCCTTTTACTATGGCCAAAAATATTTTGGAGAATCCATAAAGTGAAATGAAGTAACAAATTCAACATACTTGCTCTATGAATTAGTTCTGGGATTTTTAATTATTGTTATATATTTTAAATTGGATACCAACAAATTCTAGTGTCACATCAGACAGACTAATTTCCAGATAACAATTTTATAAAATGTAGCATTTTATAGCAATATTTATCTTTAAAAGTTCTTTCATTTGTTTTTTTATAAACTACAAAACTCAAAATATGGTAACCTGTCTTTGATGCTGCAACAACTAGATAATTTGTGCTCCTTTCCATGGGTCTCTCCCTTACTTGAATTTTTAACATGAGAAATCCTATATCTATCTAATGAAGCATCAACACAGAATGCAAATGAATTTGAAAAAAAATATTCATAGTGTAGATTTACAATTGATGTAAGTAGTACAAGATGATATAAATCTAAGCCCACAAATTTCTAAATTACTGATAGAAGACAAATAGCTTCAGCTATTTAAAAGTGAAGGGTACCTAGGTATGGTACAATTTTTCTCAAAGAAGATTTATGAAGCAAGACTATTAGGGAATTACAATAAGATTTTTCTTTAAGTTGTTCAGTTCATAAGTGTCACATCTTATTCACCGTTTACATTTGGCTGTATTTATTTTTCCGAGCTCAAAAAAGTGTTGATAACAAGAATATCTACAGATACATTTGGATGGTACCACTAAATCTCACAAACATTCTTGAAACAGTCTATACATGTATTGTTAAAAAATTATTATCAGATTTATTTAACCCCAAATACTATAAATTCATTACATGTTCTTTTTTTATTTTTTGACTCTTGTATTGAATCTTGAATGTAATTAAAATGATTGGCATATTGTAATTATCTATAATTACATTTTAAAGCACAGCAACCATTCTTTCAATATCCAGAAGCAAGTTACCATCCTCCTAGTAGAAAGTATAGTGATTTATGTTTCAAATCAATGATACATTTTTGCATATTAAATTTTAATAATTTATCTTGAAATAAATAATAATGATAAGTATTTTGTTTTTCCTATGCAAATATCTCCTTGCCAAGGAGTTCAGCAAACCTTGTGATAATGTCAAGGTTACTATTTAACATCTATCCTATATCCAGGGACAGTGTATTATTGTTGCTAAGGCATCAGGATAAAAATGTGAAGACCATGAGTTTCAGGCCTGCTTTAGGGACAGCTGGGTGTTTCTTTTAGCCCTAGGAGGGAGACAATGGCAAACTAGTTCTGAAAAACTTTGTGGAAAAAACTGTAGGAACTTCTCTGGGCATGATTGAACAGAAGAAAGAAAGAAAAAGTATCTGCCATAAATTTACCACTGATCAATAGTTTCTAATCAATAGTTTATTTGATAATAATAACCTATCAATACTGGTCTAAAATAATTTTTAGTGTGTATATTATTTGAAAGGAAGATCAGAGGAAAATGAAATATACAAATACTTACAGTAACATGTTCCCCTGAGTGGATTACCAAGATATCTATTTTCAGAGTCACAACTGCCAGGAAAAAAGACAAAACAAAGACTAAACATCTGATCATTAAAAACAATACAGCATATTGAATATTTTAAATATAACATTCATACAGCCAATGAAACAAGAAGAAACATAACTGAAACTATCTTTTATTTTTTTCTCAGCATATCCAATAATGTATTTCTATGCCTTTATACCAATGAATTTAAGTTAGAATATGTAATTCCCTCATCAACCCATTTTAATCCTACAATAATCCTCAGCATGTATAAAGGATATGGAATACAATTTGTTGACATGTTTGGGTAAGTTTTACTTGCTTGATATTAGTTTCCATTTGGTTTGTAGTTTTATGCTTAGCAAGCTAGAAAAAGCTAATGGAACTACATGGAACAAATGTGTTAATCGCTACTGTCTGTGTTCCTCTATCATTGATTATGTTGCATTTTTGTTAATCAAATTAATTATGTTTATTAAAGACAATAGAATGTATTCAGATCTAATTACAGGCATAAGACAAGCATAGGGAATAGTTACCTGCAGCCGGAATAATGCTAATCAAATCAAATTAAACTCTGAAAGGTCACTTTTCATGTCTAACTTTGGAATAGATAATCTGCCATCATTGGTCTTATTTTAAACTTTCTGCAAGAAATCGACTTAATTTATAAGAGAATGGGGCAAGTTAACTGTCTCGTTACTATTATGTAATCATTTACAAATATATGGCAGGTAGGTAGGTAGGTAGGTAGGTAGGTAGGTAGGTAGGTAGGTAGGTAGGTAGGTAGATAGATAGATAGATAGATAGATAGATAGATAGATAGATAGATAGATAGATAGATAGGAGTACACCCCCTCACATTTTGTAAATATTTACATATATGTTTTCATGTGACAACACTGAAGGAATGACACATGGCTACAATGTAAAATAGTGAATATACAGCTTGTAAAACAGTGTAAATGTGTTGTTCCCTCAAAATAACACAACATACAGCCATTAATGTCCAAACTGCTGGCAACAAAAGTTAAGTACACCCCTAAGTGATAAAATGTCCAAATGGGGCCCAAGTAGTTGTTTTCCCTCTCTGGTGTCATGTGATGCTTTAGTTTTACAAGGGCTCAGGTGTGAAGGGGGAGCAGGTGTGTTAAATTTGGTGTTATCGCTCTCACTCTCTCATACTGGTCACTGGAAGTTCAACATGGCACCTCATGGCAATGAACTCTCTGAAGATCTGAAAAAATGAATTGTTGCTCTACATAAAGATGGCCTAGGCTATAAGAAGATTGCCAAGACTCTGAAACTGAGATGCAGCACGGTGGCCAAGACCATTCAGTGGTTTAACAGGACAGGTTCCACTCAGAACAGGCCTCACCATGGTCGACCAAAGAAGTTGAGTGCCCATGCTCAGCGTCATATCCAGAGGTTGGCTTTGGGAAATAGACGTGTGAGTACTGCCAGCATTGCTGCAGAAGTTGAAGGGGTGGGGGTGGGGTCAGTCTGTCAGTGCTCATACGCTGCACGCTGCATCAAATTAGTCCGTAGGGCTGTTGTCCCAGAAGGAAGCTTCTTCTAAAGATGATGCACAAGAAAACCCGCAAATGGTTTGCTGCAGACAAGCAGACTTAGGACATGGATTCCTGGAATCATGTCCTGTGGTCCGATGAGACCAAGATAAACTTATTTGGTTCAGATGGTGTCAAGCGTGTGTGGCAGCAACCAGGTGAGGAGTACAAAGACAAGTGTGTCTTGCCTACAGTCAAGCATGGTAGTGGGAATGTCATGGTCTGGGGCTGCATGAGTGCTGCCGGCACTGGGGAGCTACAATGAATGCCAACATGTACTGTGACATACTGAAGCAGAGCATGATCCCTCCTTCAGAGACTGGGGTGCAGGGCAGTATTCCAACATGATAATGATCCAAACACACCTCGAAAATGACCACTGCCTTGCTAAAGAAGCTGAAGGTAAAGGTGATGGACTGGCAAAACAAGCAGACCTAAACCCTATTGAGAATCTGTGGGGCATCCTAAAATGGAAAGTGGAGGTGCACAAAGTCTCTAACATCCACCAGCTCCGTGACATCGTCATGGAGGAGTGGAAGAGGACTCCAGTGGCAACTTGTGAAGCTCTGGTGAACTCTATGCCCAAGAGGGTTAAGGCAGTGCTGTAAAAAAATGGTGGCCACGCATAATATTGACACTTTGGGCCCCATTTGGACATTATCAGCTAGGATGCCAGCAGTTTAGACATTAATGGCTGTGTTGCATTATTTGATATATATATCTAATTCTAAAATGATGGCACTCTTGTACATAATAATTTTAAGATATTTAACACAGTCTGTATAGTAAAGGTTTTTTTTCCTCCTCTATTTCAAATAACTTCTTTGTATACCTTGAAGGACAACATGATGACTACTCCTAATGGTTTGGCAGAACAGAATATATTAATAGGCCTATACTGGACAAGAAACATGAAAACTATTTTTATTGCTTTCCTCAGTAACACCTTCATTTATAATTTAAATGTACTATAATGGTATGTGAGAATGACTTTGGGATATAGGGTACACAGGCATCGCCAAAGTAATGATCAGATAAAAGCCAGCTTAGCCTGCAGTAGAAATGTGACTGCGGCAACAAGCTCAGAAGAGATTCTCCCTAATTTCTTGGGCTATAAAGGGGGAGACAAGTACTTGTAGTAACATTCTGCTAATGTAATATTACAATACAGTTCAACAAGCTCATCTTTCCCACCTGGTCTACCTATAAGACTGAAATCAATCTTGCGAGTCTGAAAGTTCCCGTCTTCTTTACAGCCCAAGAAATTAACCTCTTTTAATCATCACTTTCTTACTCATTTCAATATACAAGGGAGCTGAATCACTCTTAATATTTTCTCATTGTTTTCCAACTTGTTTGTGACTAGTACAAGAGAATAAATTAAATGTTCAAATATATGCTTATTTTATTTCAGAAAGCATTAGTGCCCTGGCATGACACCAAAAGTACATTTCTGAGAAAAAAAGCAAGAACATTTTTAAAATGTTAACTATAAAATCTATAATATGTTCCAATAAGATAAGATCTATCACATTCATCCAGCTATTTATAGTTATTTTCAAACTGTTCTCTATTGACCTCTTTGAAGGTCAAATACATGCTGCTGTTCAACATTTGTCAATGTTCCATGTCTACAAATAGGTCACTATACTCATTTTCTACACATTTGTCCTCTTCCTTTTTTTGAGTACCCGAAATACCTATACTTACTGACATTAGGAGACTTAATTTCAATAGAATATTTGTTTGTTTTTTAAATATATAACATATTAAAATATATTTGCATAACATATGGGTAAGTTCTAATTTATCCAAATTAGAAATGAACTTTATGTATATTTACATTAGAGCAAGTTTTTTATTATCAAAATGGTTTAGGACATGGTTTGAATTAAAAACAAAATCTAGGACCATTCTCTAGAGGGCAAATCTAGAGAATGTTTCTTGTTTCTGTCTGGAGAAACCAGCCAATAATTGCAAATTCTAGTAGGCTATCAAAATATTAACGTGCTGACATGTTGATCCGTATTCATAATTTTCAAACAAAAATCACCCTTGTTTATTAATGCTATGATACAGGCAAATGATCTAATATTGTTAATAAATCTATAAACAAAATTAAAAAATCGTATGAAACAGAAGAAAGGAATGGACAATCAGAAGAAAGGACAACTTTATCACAGCTTATGAGCAAAAGTAGCAAATGCCTACCCTTACACAACTGAAGGTACCCTCAAAATATTAGTGATTCTTGAGAGACAATCCTAAAATAGGTGGAACTCAGGAAGCAATCTTTGCATGTGGCCTTTGTCTAGTCTTTCCTGGCCCTATAGAGTTGGCAGCTAATCTTCAATACTTCTTACAGGAACAGATACTATCATTTTTTTAAGGAAAATAAGATGGCATATTCAAAACATGATTGAAGTGCAATTTGTTCTGATTCATTGCCTTGGAAAACAAGATAGCTGGGTAGAAGGAAATCCAGCAAAATTCAATATGTTGGCTGTCACAATTAAAATAATTATTTCTTGCATGTGTCTCCTGCTAGTCAGTCTTAAAACAGATTCTGTTTGATTTCATCATAACATCCTTCTACTAGAATATTATGCATTCTTACTCATGGCTGTGATAAATTAGGCTGGTTTGAAATATTCTGTGTTTTATCTGTTTGTTACTTTGGCAATACATTTTTTGGCATAACAGTTTTTAAATATATTTTGAATAATGGATTTATTTTGGCTTACTATTGAGGGTTGTATTCAGAAATCTCTTCTGTAAGTGGAAAGCCAACTGGGCCTTTTTCCAGGTTTCCATAAGAAATAGTAGTATTTTGGTTTGCACAGGATATTGCATAAGGATTTATACAATTTCTCCAGATGATATGCATTATTTTCACAATCTTTCCCTGGTCTGGAATTTTTATATATGAGTAACACAACATAATATTTTGAAAAAATATACCCATGTTGTAGAACATGAAACATGCAATAGTCTATGTTTTCTAAGTTCCATGTTCCACAACATGGATAAAATAGCTCAACAAATGATGCAGAATTGAGAAACAAATAACTTGCTTTTATTATTTAACTTCAAAGTGTCAAATGAAATTAGGATTTTTATGTATTGAATAAAATAACAAACTTATGTGTTTAGTAAAGCTTGAACTCAGATATTTACTATTTGTAAACATCTTACCAAATAATATTAAAGATAACAGGAATGGTTGGCTTTCTGATTATTGTTTTTTTTTTCAAAGTTACAACTCAGCTCAATTTTCAGAGATTATCTGAATTTTTTTGTTTGAATTTTTTATTTGGCTCCTAGTAGCTTTCATCTGTTATTAGCTCTGGTCTTCTTTAGATCATATTACAATTATTTATACTAGTGTCTTACTGAAGGATGTGTTGCATATTTTTGAGATACTTTTCAACTCCAACCTCCCAATACTCTCTTTT